TTTTTTTTTTACACAAAATGGCGGCGGTACAGTCCCTCCGTGTAGGCCGTTTTTGTAGGAGATGGAAAACGGCTGCCATCGCCCTGGTTTTTCTATTGGTCTGAAATCAAAAAGTAAAAATGATTTCAATTACTGACGAGTTTAAGCGAAGGATAAACCTATAAAATTGATAAAAAGTACAAAATAAAAAATTTGGTAGGCTTTTTTAAAAAATTCGAATTTTCGCCTATTTTTTCCACAGTTTATACCCCCTTAAAATCGTTTATTTATGCAAAATCTATAATATTTTAAACAATATAAGATAAATACGTGGTACGAATATAAAACAATATGATTATAAAGGCATATGTTAGTAATTGTACTTTATCAAATATAATAATTTTAAGCCAACGAAATCAGGCGTTCGTGGTCATATGCCTTTATAATCATATTGTATAATATTTTAGGTTTATCCTTCCGATAATTATGTACTAAAACCCCTCAAAATTTCAGCCCGATCGATTAATAACTTTTTGAGCTACAGTGGCAGCCTTTTTTGGAAATGTAGTTTCGAGAAAATCGCGTTTAAAGATTCAGGACGATAAAACTATTGGTTTTTGCGACTTACCGATCAATCAGAGATTCCAGGTGCATACAATAGCCCTTCGGCTTCCTCGAAAAGCTGATTATCTTCCAATAGCTGCTGTTTCCGGGCAGTACAGGCAGCTTTTGTCTCGTTCTGGCTCATTCTGTTTTGCCTGGTTACACGAGCCTCATCGGTGTTCTTCGCGAAGTTGAGAGCTTGAGTTCCGACAACGATGTCCAATGCATTCATTATTCTTAATATTGAAGTATAGCCTTCATTAAATACTCCGGCTGCAATGTAGGCTGATATTTCAATTATTTTTTGGCCAGAATGCAAGTGTTTCGGAGTCAATCGCCAAATGGTAGAGTTAAAACTTTCGTTGGCGTTCTGACTTCTGCGTATGGCCATCCAAGCACCTTTCCAGTAGATCTTCTCTGGATAAATCTTCATAAATTGGTAAGAGATGCTCCTTCATCTCTTGGCCAAGCAGTGGTGACAGATCTTCGAGTTTCGGGTCCGTGTTCAAAGCGACAGCTTTCTGCCACTTGCACCAGCTCTCAGGTCCCGTCGGACAACTTCCGTGGCTCTTCTTTCGTTGAAAAGATATGATAATACGTAGCCATAATTGCGTTTTTCATATTTTCAACACTATCTGTGTTTCTTTGGATGCTCAAACCATAATATTTAGTGAGTTGCTTAGTTTTTTCTCCGTTAACTTGTTTCTTCCGCCAAGTTTTTTTTCTTTTCTTACGTTTTGAAGTCTATTGTATATTCTCTTTTCAGCGTGGCCGATACACTCACTTTTGACAACAGTCAACTCGTCACCATAAGGTTTTAAATCTAGAATGGCTTGGTTGTCAAGTCGATTTCGGCTCTTGGCAACGCCGCCTCTGCCCGCTCGGACCAAGCACTTCAGGTACGATCCCGGCGTTCCACGAGCGCTCTCAACTGTGGGCTATATCTCCGCAAATATGTCATATTTCGACTTGCTACTTTGCCAGAATACTCTCAAGGGATGATACTTTCGAAATGTGTAAAAAAAATTCAATTTTTTTGAAGGTTGTAAATGTATTTCTCCCCTTAAGAGGAATTTATACCATTTGGATTGG